CAACTATCTGTATAGGATGAAAGCTCTGGATGCTATCCGTGCTTCTGGTAAGGACACTAGCTATCAGACTCCATTCTAGAGCCTAAAAAGCCATCTAGGGAACAGAGTAATGAACCCATTTTATATGTTAGGATTTGTCCTTTTTGTATATCTCGACTAGTGGGAATTTCCTGGAGTTTGGAAAGTACCACTTAATCTTTTACATAAGGAAATTATGTAGGCAGGTTAGTTCTTCTCCAAAAAGACTAGGGTTTTTTTGTTTGTCTTTTAAGATTCTTGAGACCTTTAGTTTCCTGAACTGGAAGATAATAATTTGTTTTTCCACAAAGGACTAGTGACATCCGTTTTTTCAGTAAACCCAAGGCGAATGATTCTTGAATATTTTTTCCTATTCTTTGACCACTTGTCATATATGCGTCTATCTCTAACGAAAATATATATATACACACCCACACACACATATATGTACATATGTATGTATATATATATATATGCACATTTATATGTGAAATTTACATATATATATACACACACACACTTTTTAATATACGTAAATTTTTTAAGGATTGAATCCAGAGGTGCTTTACCACTGAGCTATATCCCCAGCCCTTTGTATTTTTTATTTTGAGACAGATTTGTCTGTTTTTTTTTTTTAAATATTCTATCTCTTTTTTTTTAAAGATGGGATTTACATCCAGCTCATATCACTTGTTTCATTAGACCTATTTCTAACTTGGGAAAATAACTAGATATTGTCCCTTTATCTCCTCAGAGATCCCATTTCATGCTGAAGGCAGGTACCCCTGTTCCTTAATGGGCAAGAATTTCCGCTCCTACTTGCTAGATCTTCGAAACACTAGTACTCCTTTCAAGGGTGTGCGGAAGGCCCTTATCGATACCCTGCTGGATGGCTACGAGACAGCCCGCTACGGGACAGGGGTGAGCTGAATGGCCAGTTTTTCCTTCAAGTATCTAAAGGGATATGCCAGACTGAGAGATCCTCATCTTTTCTCTTTCCTAAGGTGTTTGGCCAGAGTGAGTACCTGCGCTATCAAGAGGCCCTGAGTGAGCTGGCCACTGTGTGAGTTTGGAGGGGAACATGTCAAAGGGAGCTGGTTAGAGAATATCAGAAGTATTAGAAGTACTGGACTATTCCTAATATTTATGCAGTAGCTATCATAAAGCAGTATGAATGAATATCCATGATACCATAAGACTATTAGAATTGCCTCTTGCCAAATTAGAAAGAAGATGCTACCATATAATAAGAGAATTTTTTTACTTTATGTGCATCTTTTTCTTTTTTTTTCCAGCCCAATTAAATGTCAAAATTGGCAGAACCTAATGAAGCATTAAATGCCACCCATTTTTATTACTACTTAAAGCATTATAACCTTATCCGAAACAAAGGTTACCACGAGAGAGTCAGTTTGGGGTTTTTTGTTTGTTTACTTATTCGTTTTGTTATTGTTGTTGTTGTTTTGGTACCTGGGATTGAACTTCAGGGGTGATTAACCACTGAATCACATCCCCAGCCCTTTTTTGTTTTATTTTGAGACAGGATCTCACTTAGGACCTAGCTAAGTGGCTAAGACTGACTTTGAACTTGGAATCCTGCCTCTACCTCTGAAGCCACTGGGATTACAGGCACGCACCACTGCCCCTGGCGAGGGTCATGACTTCTGTTTGGGAATCATGATTTTCATTAACGTGTTAGGATGTTAACAGGATATTACACTTGATAATAATATCCTAAGATATGAAGATATTACCTAAGAGAAGGAAGAGGAGTCATGACTTCTGTTTGAGAATGTTTTAAATATGTACTCAACATAGTTTCATTATGTTGTTTATGCATATGTTTGGTGAAAAAAAAAGAAGGCCAATTTAGAATTAAAAACTAGTTACCATCCATGAAAAGAATACATCTGTTTTCTGTTGTGTTTGGCATGACTTTCTCAAGACATAAGGAGTATGTCTATTCTGTCTTCTCTCCGTTCTAAAAATGAGCTATGCTGGGATTTTTTGGTTGTTTTTGTTTTCTTTTTGGTACTAGGAGTTGAACCCAGGGGTGCTCTACCACTGAGCTATACCCCTGTTTTTATTTGGGGAAAGGTTCTCACCAAGTTGCCCAGCGGTCCTCAAACTTGGGATCCTTCTGCCTCAGCCTTGTGAGTAGCTGGGGTTAGAAGCATGTGCTACCACACCTAGCCTGAACTACCTTGTTCTCAAAGAAAGGTGCGGTGAAAACTTTTGATTAGAGCAGTAATGAAAATGATCACCACCAGGTGTGGTGATGCACGCCTGTAATCCCAGCAGCTGGAGGCAGAGGCAGGAAGATTGCAAGTTGAAAGCCAGCCTCAGCAACGTAGTGATGCCCTAAGCAACTTAGTGAGACCCTGACTCTAAATAAAATATAAAAAGGGCTGGGAATGTAGCTCAGTGGTTAAGCACCCCTGGGTTCAATCCCTGGTACCAAAAAAAAAGGCAGCAACAAGCTGGAAAAAAATGTTTGGAGTTAGGCAGGAAATCTGTTTTAAAATCTTCTGGAAGATAAATACAAATTCCACTTGTATAGGATTCCTAGGAAGTCAAATTCAGAGACAGAAAGTAGAATGGTGGTTGCCAGGCGTTGGGGAAAGGGGAAAAGAAAACTAGTTTAATGAGCATAGACTTGCAAGATGAAAAGTGTTAATTGGAGGTTAGTCGTGCAATATTGTGAATGACTTGAAGCTACTGAAATATGTTTTCAAATGGTTAAATGATAAGTTTTATGCATATATTATTACAGTTTTTTTTAAATTTTTTATTTTGGCTTCTAGAAAGCTTCAGTGGGTATAGTAAAAAGAATATAGGCTTTGCAGTCTGACAACCTTAGGTTCAAATACCCAGTCTGTCATTTAATAGCTTTGTGACCTCATACAGGTTAATTATTGGACCCTCCATTTCTTAACCTGCACAACTAGGCAATACAAAAATATAGAGGGTGATGTTAGTAAATTAGATGTAAACCACCAAGTGTAATGTACTAACATGTCAAGTACCCAATAGCTGCTTCTGTTCTTATTTTTTGATATTTAGCTTTCAGGGGACTTTCTTTAGATTAGGAATATGTTCACTACATATACACATTAGGTGAAATAAGTAAAATTAAAAGTTTTCTTTAGGGCTGAGGCCCAGAGGCAGAGAGCTTGCCTAGCATGTGTGAGGCACTGGGTTCGATCCTCAGCACCACATAAAAATAAACAAGTAAAATAAAGGCATGCTGTCCATCTACAACTACAAAAAAAAAAAAAAGAACGAACTTTTTTTTTTCCTTTTTAGTTAAACATGGTGTCAGGAAGAAAAAAAATTGAGCCAGAACTCAGTAGGAAATTGGTTTCTTTGCTACTTCTTACCTTCTTTGTTTTTTAATGACACTGAAGATTAAACTCATGGGTACTCTACTGCTATGCTACATCCCCAGCCCTTTTTGAAATTTTTTTATTTTGAGACAGAGTCTTGCAAAGTTGCCAAGGTTGGCCCCACTTGTGATCCTCCTGTGTTACCCTCCTGAATGTAACTACAGGTGTGAACTACCACATTTTACTGGTTTCTTTATTTCTAAGCTCTCAGATAGGCTTTTAGTAACTAGTTTATAAGATAGGTCAGAGACCATTTGTGGCTACATTTATGGGAAAGGAAAGGACCTGAATTGTATTCTTCTGCTAGTCCTCATTCTGTCCATAACCTCCCCTCTTTGTATTCTTTAGGGTCAAAGCACGAGTTGGGAGCTCTCAGCGACAGCACCAGTCAGCAGCCAAAGACCTAACTCAGTCCCCTGAAGTCTCCCCAACTACTATCCAGGTGACATACCTTCCCTCCAGTCAGAAGAGTAAACGTGCCAAGCATTTCCTCGAATTGAAGAGCTTTAAGGATAACTATAACACATTGGAGAGCACTCTGTGATGGAGCTGAAGGACTCTCGCTGCAGACTGAGCCAGACATCTGTGATGTCTACTGGGCAGCCCTCAGGAAATCTGGCTCAGCAGGCCCAGGCTGTTTTAGCCAAAGCTCCTGCTGTGTCCAGGGTTCTTAGAGTTTGTGTCTGAAAGGTCATTCCCCAACTTTTTCTTACAGGCATTTTCAGAATATCAGATAAGATTTTATTTTCCCCTCAGTAGAATTTTTTTTTTTTCTTCTGTGTTTGAATTCAGATGTCATTCTTATTTCTGTCACAAGTTTTCTTAAAAATCTTCACTTGTTTTTGGCCATAGTCCACCTATTTAATCCCAAAGGTGAAAAGTAAGGTATCTTCCATGTCTGTCCCATTGTTCTCAATTGAGTGGGAACTGCTTGGTTTTAGGGTGTCTTGGAGTTGTTTAGTGGAAGAGGTGGGCAGGATCAGGGGTGGGGTGAGGAAGTGTGTGGTATGTGTAACAACTTACCCTGAAACTCCATTTAAATCAGGATGTGTTGAAACATTAACACAACTTTCCTCGTGTGCACTGATCTGCCTTTCCACCTTCATTCAACCCTCTTTATAAATAAATGAACAAAAGGGAATGTTCTGACACCTGGAATAATCTATGCCGAGATGCAAGATGATATGGAGGAATGGTTTCCCCTAATAAGGCAGTGTACTGGTATGGTTTTATGGATTAGTTATTTAATAAAATGAACCATTAAAAAACAGAACATATGACTCATTTCTTTATTGTTGTCTTTTGGTAAAATGGTCATACAGTATGTTTTCTGTACTTTGCTAACAGGCTATGGGGCATGAGGTTTTTCCTCTAGAGAATTGGTCGGATACTCTTTGGGACATCAACAGAGAAATCCTGAAATAGGGATGGTGGCCCTTGCTCACAGATTTGTCTGTGTCACTAATAGAAGGCTGGAGAACCAGGAGTCCCTTCAGGTCTCCAGGGCAACAGGCCAGGTGACCAATCAACTCCTAGGCCCAGGGTCATTGTTGGAGGCCTAAATGTTGCTATGACTACTGCAACCTTGGTGACTGAACTAAACAGAAAGGAGAGCCTGCTCAGTCTCCTCAGACTTAAGCAAGCAAGTCTGTAGACATGTCTGCGGAAAAGATAACAAAAGTAGAAGAGGTATGCAGAATTGGAAGGAGGGACTGGGTTGAAGGAGTTTCCCTTGAGGAGGTTTGCAGATCAGTTTTCTTAGAAGTAGGCTATTTATTGGGGAAAGCGCTTGATTTAAGACTACAGTATAGTTAGTAACAGGAGTGGGAGACTATGCCTAGCATCTAATAGGTATTCAATGTGCCAGGTGCAGTAGTACACACCTGTAACTCAAGAGGCAAGGCAGGAGAACCACAAGTTCAAGGCCAGTCTCAGTAACTTATCAAAAAATAAAAAAGCCCAGGGATGTAACTCAGTGCTTCTGGGTTCAAACCCCAATACTGAGGAGATAGGGGGCCAAATATCAACTCTTGCATGTTTTTTTTTATTCTGAAAAGTGTAGAGCTTTCTTCCCACCTCCCCTAGGAAATTGACTACTACCTATCTCAAAAATATTAATCTTGTACAAGAAAAGGATACTTGCCGTTAGTGAGGTTCTGGAGATTAAAGGCAGATCAACAGACTTTCCCTTTTCTTGCAGAACTTTCAAAGGGCCCTAGAATTTAAGAAGATGGTCAACAGGTAATCTCTGCTTCTCTTACCCTTACCCTTCAGCTTGACCTTTCTACACTCCTGTCGCTAAGCCACACCGCAACTCTGTCTCGTTGAGGGCTCATTAAAAGAAAACAGCTCAGGAGGTGAAGCAGGCGGATCACAAGTTCAAAGCCAGCCTCAGCAAAAGCAAGGCGCTAAGCAACTCAATGAAATCATGTCTGTAAATAAAATACAAAATAGGGCTGGGGAATGTGGCTCAGTGGTCAAGTGCCCCTGAGTTCAATCCCTAGAACCTATCCCCTAAAGAAGAAAAAAAAGAAAAAGCCTAGGCCTGGTGGCACCTGCCTATAATGTCAGCTACCAGGAGTCTGAGGTAGGAGTATCAAGTTCTAGGCCAGCCTCGGCAATTTATCAAAACCCTATCTCAAAACATAAAAAGGGCTGGTGATGTAACTCAGTGATAGAGTGCTTTCCCAGCATGTGTGAGGCCTTTCGGTTGATCCTTAATACCGCAAAGAAGGGGAGAAGGAGGAAAAAGAACTCTGATGCCAGGTCTTCCTCCCAGGAGATTTTGATTGAAATGTCTGGGATAAGATAGAAGAAGCCTATTTTTAAGAATATTGGCCAGGTGCAGTGGCACACACCTATAATCCCAGTGTCTCAGGAGGTTGAAGCAGGAGGATCGTGAGTTCAAAAGACAGCCTCAGCAACTTAGGCCCTAAGCAACTCAGAAAGACCCTGTCTCTAAAATAAAATACAAAAAAGAGCTGGGGATGTGGCTCAGTGGTTAAGTGCCACTGGGTTCAATCCCCAGTACCAAAAAAAAAAAAAAATTTCAGGTGGTGCACACCTTGTAATCCCAGTAGCTGGGGAGGCTAAGGCAGGAAAAATCAAAGTTTCAGGCCAGCCTCAGCAATTTAGCAATTTAGACCCCGTTTAAAAATAAAAAGTAGAGCCAGGCACAGTGGCACAGGCCTGTAATTCTAGCAGCTCAGGAAGCTGAAATAGGAGGATCATGAGTCAAAGCCAGCTTCAGCAATGACAGGTGCTAAGCAAATCAGTGAGACCCTGTCTCTAAATAAAAATACAAAAATGGGCTGGGGATGTGGCTCAGTGGTTGAGTGCCCCTGAGTTCAATCTCTGGTACCAAAAAAAAAAAAAAAAAAATGAGAAGGTACATACACAAGAATGTTCATGACAGAGTTGTTTATAAAAAATAAAGCTGGAAACAAACAACAAAAAAAACCTACACAGCCTTTAAACTGAAGGAAGCAAATCTCTGTGTTCATATGAGAAGTCCAAATTGTTAAGTAGCTCTGTGTATGTAAATGTATAATGTCTAGCTGAGTGCTAGAGTGCTTGCCTTGAATGCCTGAGGTCCTAGTTTAGCTCCCCAGCAATGTAAGTAAGGAGGAAGAGGGGCTGGGGCTGGGGCTTAGTGGTAGGGCGCTTGCCTAGCATGCACGAGACACTGGGTTCAATCCTCAGCACCACATAAAAATAAAAGATATTGTGTCCACCTAAAACTAAAAAATAAATATTTAAAAAAAGAAGGAGGAGGAGAAAGAAAAAAGAAAAGGAAGATATACCTGCTGGTATCTGATAGAAAAATTTCCTGGAAGGATGCATAAGAAACTTCTAAGTTTGTTGAGCAATACTGGGTCAGGGCTAAGCTTTTTTTAATTGTTAAAGAAAAATTTTATTCAAAGTAAAACTAGGAGCTGTGCTTGCCTGTAATCCCAGCTGATAAAGGAGGCTGAGGCAGAAGGATCAAAGGTTTGAGGCCAGTCTGGGCGACTTAGAGTCTTGAAATGAAATGAAAAAGAGGTGGGAATGTGACTCAGTATTACAGTGCTTCCCTGGCATTCAAGAGGTCTGTGTTCAATCCCATGTACCATGGAAAGAAAAAAGAAAAAGTAGAGTTAGGGACAATGAGCTGAGATCCAGGTCTGCCACTAAGTGACCTTGGGCAACTCACAACTTTCAGTTTCTTTGCCTATATCATGTAAAAATTAATACCTGTGCCTCAAAGTTATTGTAATGATTAAATAACATAATTACTTAATATGCAATCTTTTGACAATGGAACAAGGGTTCTAAGTGATGAAGCAGCCTCACTGATTGGGTTTTTAATCTCCACTACTTTTTTTTTTTTTTTGGTGGTAGTGGTCCTGGGTATTGAGCCCAGGGCCTTGTGCATACTAAGCAAGCACTCTACCAGCTGAGCTACATCCCCAACCCTTCCTTTCCTAATTCTAACCCATTCAACCACCACCTCTGTACCTTGGGCAGGTGGCAAACTTCACATATTCACTGTGCATGGCAGATGACATTGAGCCAGAGGAGAAACCCATACACCATCCTAAGGATGCAGGATGCCATGGTAAAGGAATTGGCACTGGCCAACAAACAACTACTGATGGTGAGTTCTAGGAGAACTGTGCCTTTTCCAGCTGGGATTTCAAAATATTAGTCTCTGTCATTACTCACCCAGCTCATTACACCAGAACATCAACTGTTTAACTCCAAGTGCCAAAGTTCTTTTTCAATAAGTGATTCTTTGCATCCAGCTTGCAGGTAACACATTTCAAAGTCCCAGGGTGACCTGGGTGGTGTTGCATACCTGTAATCAGAACAATTCTTGAGAGTGAGACAGGAGGATTGCAAGTTCAAGTCAGCCTGGGCAACTTAGTGAGACCCTGTCTCAAAATAAAAATAAAAAGGATTGAGGATGTGACTCAGTGGTAGAGCACTTGCCTAGCACATATGAGGTCCAGGTTTCAACCCTCTGTACTGGAAAAAAAAATGTTTTTCCAAAGTGCATTATAGTCTTTGTTTGTCTCATCTTACTGAGACACTAAACTGCCTCCATTAATGCCCGGCACCTACTCTTGTTACGTCTTTCTCTCCCTCATGTCCCAATAGCTGTCATGTCACCATCTTTGTATCCTGGGGAGCCTAGCAGAATTCCTGATTTGTGGTATGTTCTCAGCAAATATTTGCTGGACATAGGGCTTCACCCATGAAGGAAAAAAATTGGTTCAACCTCTCTAGCACTGTCTAGCTTTGAGTTATAGCTAAGTCCGGGTCCAAAAGAAAAGGAGTTATGGGAAAACAACCAGGAAGAGAGAATGAGGAAGGTTGGTAAACAGAGAGCCAACACCACACTCTTCTGCCCTCCCTGCCAGGTCCGTCAAGCTGCCCTGCACCAGCTGTTTGAAAAGGAGCATCAGCAGTACCAGCAAGAACTAAATCAGATGGGCAAAGCTTTTTATGTGGAGAGACTCTGACAGCCTCCGAAACACTGCTCTTCCCTTCTTGCCATACCTGCTAACGTAGCCTTCTTGAGCCTCTACTACCTTGAACTTCCTTCCCCAAACAGACTGAGCCTGGGACAATTTCCCCATCTTCATCAACTTCCCTGTCAATTCCCTGCTTCCATCTGGGAAACAATCTATTTTTTAAAAAAATGATGAAGGGGGCTGGGGTTGTGGCTCAGCGTCAGAGTGCTCACCTGGCGCATGCAAAGCCCTGGGTTCCATCCTCAGCACCACATAACAATAAATAAATAAAGATGTTGTGTCCATCTACAACTAAAAAAAATTCTTAAAAATGGTGAAAACGAGTGACGCCTTGTGGTCGGAGTGGGATCTGCAGCGTTGATGTAAGGTGGTGGGGGGTATATAATGGGAGTTGAAATTCTGATTTGATTTAACAAATAAAGCTACCTCTTAAAGGTTCACACTTTTTTGAACAGGGCTCATTCTCTCAGCCTCAAATATTATTTTTTTTTCTATTTCTGTGGTACTGGAAATTGAACCCAGGGGCACTTTACTACTGAGCTACAGCCCTCTTTTATTTCTTACTTTGAGACAGGGTCTCAAAGTTGCTTAGGGCCCCACTAAGTTGCTGAGGGTGGCTTTGAATTTGTGATTCTCTTGACTGAGCCTCCAGAGCCACTGGTATTACAGGTGTGTGCCACTGCACCCAGCTTTTTTTTTTTTTTTTTTTTTTCACTTTTGAGGCAGGTTCTCACTAAGTTGCTGAGGGTCTTGCTAAATTGCTGAGGCTAGCCTCGAATTTGCAATTATCCTGCTTCAACCTCCCAAATCGCTGGGATTATTGCTGGGGTGTATGCTGCTCTGCCCAGCTTTGATTTGTTCTTAACTACCATAATTTTGATTTCCTGGACTTTGCACACCTCCTCTCAGATGTTTTCTGTATACTGGGACAAATAGCTTTGAATGTGGCTATGAATCTACAGGCACTATGGTGCTTGAGTGTTAGGATACAGTATTCGAGGTTTTATGTCATTTAATTATTATGAAACCTTTTTTTTTTTTCTTTGAGGTTAAACCAGGGCCCTTAACCACCAAGCCACATCCCAAGCCCTTTTATATATTTTATTAGACACAAGGTCTTATTGCGTTGCTTAGGGCCTCAATGAGTTGCTGAGGCTGGCTTTGAGCTCACAATCCTCCTGCCTTAGCCTCCCAAACTTCTGGGATTACAGGCATGCGCCCCTGCACCTGGCTTTATTGTGAAATCTTAGAAGCCTCTTTCCTATGAGCCTGAATACCCATCTCTGCAAGAATGAGAGGATTCCAGACTCAAATGCCCCCAGGTAAAAGGCAGATAATGTAGAAGGTGTGAGAAAATGAAGGATAAGGAGATTTGTGAGAGATCAGGAAGAGTATGTCCATCCAGAAGGCATTTTAAATACTGAAAAGTACTGAATGTACCCACAGGACACAGAGAACCTTATTATTAAGGCTTTACTTTCTATTCAAATGACTTCCAAAGCCAAAGAGACAGACACTATTGTTCCCTGATGTAATTGTCACTCAAATTACTTTTCCCAAGTCTCTTGCCTTGCCAGTGGCAACTCTCTGGTCACTCATCTTGGCCACATGATCTTTTCCTCCCCTCAACTCCATGTGGCTGTCTCCACTACAAAACCCACAACCTTCATTTCTTCTCTCAAGTTTGACTCTATCCTTCAATCTCCTACTGAATCCCCAATTTTTCATCTTCCAGATGTTAGATCTTCTTCCTTCTGACCCTTCACATTCCTGATAAGTGCTGAGAGGTAACAGGGTAACGAGGAAAGCACAAGACAGGCACAGTGGCACACACCTGGAATCCCAGTGCCTTGGGAGGCTGAGGTAGGAGAAACCCGAATTTGAGGCCAGCCTGGGCAACATAGGGAGAACCTGTCTCAAAATGAAAAAAAGGTCTGGGATGTTGCTCAGTGGTACAGTGCCCTGGGTGCAATCCCGCTGCCCTAAAAAAGAGAGAAATAACACAGGTTTTGGGCTGGGGATGTGGCTCAAGCGGTAGGGCGCTCACCTGGCATGCGTGCGGCCCGGGTTCGATCCTCAGCACCACATACAAACAAAAATGTCGAGTCCGCCGAAGACTAAAAAATAAATATTAAAAAAAAAAATAACACAGGTTTTGGAGGCAGGTGTGGTTTCACATTCCGGCTTTGCTTCTTTAATTTGTGAATCATCATGTGTAAGTTATTTAATTTACCTGAGTCTCATTTCCTCTTCTGAAAATGAGGATAGGACAGGCTGGGGTTGTAGCTTAGTGTAGAACACTTGCTTAGCATGTGTGAGGCCCTGAGCAACACACACACACACATGAAAATTAGGACAAAAATACTCATCACAATTTCTTTTTATGGGGAAAGAGGTACCGGGGATTGAACTCAGGGGCACTCGACCACTGAGCCACATCCTCAGCCCTATTTTGTATTTTACTTAGAGTCAGGGTCTCACTGAGTTGCTTAGGGCCTCACTAAATTGCTGAGGCTGGCTTTGAACTTGCTATCCTCCTGTCTTCAGCCTCCCTAGCTGCTGGGATTACAGGCATGCGCCACCGCACCCAGCTACTCAGCACACATTGAGGATTAATCAAATAGTGAGAGCAAGCCCACTAGTGCTTGGCACACAGAAGGTACCCTCATGTTTCCCCTCAGATTTCTCCATTACCTAGGTCCCTGTTTGTTGGCCTCTGGCCAGCCCCCTGTTCACTTCACAGTCATTTTCCATCCCATGCTCATCCCTCTCTCTGCCCTCCTCATTCTTCCATCTCCAGCCCCATCACCTCTGCTTCCTAAACCTCTATCTTTAGTTGGTAGCCACTCATGCATGCGTCCTTCTGCCAAACAAAACGTGGAGCTCATGGGCTGTGCTGAGGGGTGAGGGGCATGAACAGTAATGACAGATACAAGGTGTATTTAATAGGAGTCAAAACCATGCACATGGGGCCTGCAGTTGACCACAAAACTGAAGCTGTCTCCTGTTTCCTGCCCTCGATTTCCCAAAGGTCTGCTGTCTTGCCTTTATTACTTCTTTCATCTTCCCTCTTCCCTCTTATCTGTCTCCCAGTTCATTTGTGTTATTGTTATTGTTTTTGTTGTTTGTTTGTTTGGTCTGGGGATTGAACCAGGCACTTAAGCACTGAGCCACATCTCCATCCCTTTTTATGTTTATTCTTATTTTAAGACAGGGTCTTGCTAAGTTGCCTGGTGCCTTGTTAAGTTACTGAGGCTGGCCTCCATCCTCCTGCCTCAGCCTCTCGAGTTGCTGGGATTATAGGCATGTGCCACCATGCCCAGTTCCCAGGACACCTTTAGCTTCTTATTCACCAAGTTATGTGGCTTGTAATGAAGAGAACAGGCTGTAATACTGAATGGGTCTGGGTTCCAATCCTTGTTCTGTCACCAGCTGTGGGACCCCATGCAAGTCACTTTGATTTTCTGGGTTACGGTTCCTTATGTGTAAGATGGAGATAATGTCTACTTCATTGGGTTGCTGTGGGGATGAAATGAAGCACTTGGCAGAGATTCACACACAATGTCCAACAAATGGTAACCCATCCTGAGGTTTTCCGCCTCTAATGAGACTTTCCCCCTTCTTGCTTCTGCTCTATGACCTAGATTTTCCTACTTCAACGCAACTTCCTCACCACCTCTTCTATTTTTCTGTGCTTCCTTTTCTGTTTGATTGGACCCACAGAACGTCCCATCCCCTCTGACATGATCCCTGACCTTGGCCTCTTACCGCAGGGCTTGTCAGTGCCAGGCTGGCTCCAGTATTGGCAGATCGGCCCCCCACAGAGCCTGTCTTCCCCGATCCTCTCAGCCTATCCTGTCGGCTCTCATCACATCACAGGAGGTACCCATCCAGCCTGTCTTTCTGCTATAGTTGATGCCTTGGCCAGATCCTGCGGCCCAGAAGGGCTCAGTCCTTTTTGAAGTAACCACATAGGAAGCACTTCCAGGAGAACCCGAGGAATTTTATCAGAGGCCATGTGACATTTTTGCCTAGTTTTGACATCCAAAGTCTCCTTCTAAGAGAGCCAATATTCCCAGTCTGCTTCTGTTCCCCCAGTTCCCCAAACACCAAAGTCCTTCCAAGTCTTGCTAGTTTCTTTTCCAGCCTCCCTCCCTTCAGGCTTTGGTTTCCCAGTGAGAACAAGTTCCTCAGAGAAGGGGCTAGAACTTAGGGGGTTAAGGATAAGGAGGAAGGGCAAGAAAAATGAAAATCACACTTACACTTTGGGAGTCACAAATGAACAAAGATGTAAGACCACCCACAGGGCCTCCACTGGGGCCTGTGTGCTCATCGTTAGTCTCTCCCTGGAAGGCAAGAGCTGCACAACAGGAATTGACTGGGGCTTGGGACAAGCTATCGATCAAGATCAAGGTCATTGTGGAATTGGTGTGTGGCCAGGGGAGTGTAGGGACTAATGGCAATGGGAACAAGGACACATGGAACAGGCCTGGGGGCTAAAGCAGAGAGCCTTTCTCCCACCCGCCCCACTTCCACCCAACCTCCCCACCCCGCAGTGTAGCTATAACTCAGGCTCCTTTCGGCCACAGTGGAGAAAGCGTCTGCTTACCACATGACATACAACAGATCTGACTCTCTTCAAAAGAGAAAGAAGGGAAGAAGCCCGGACCCTGGGAGGGAAGACCCTTGGAGAAGCCAGCTCAGGAGTTCTTGTGGTAAAAAGCCCCAGAAGAGAAGGCCACTGGGCTCCCTCTCTCAATCTTGAGTTAAAGCTTTCCTTTCAGTTCTGCCAGGCAGGAGAGATCCAGGCCATCCCTCCTGGATCCCCACTGGAGCTTGCTGGTGAGACAGCTCACTCTTCTGTTCTGGACATCCAAGGGTGACTTTAAGGAGTATGCCTGGAGGTCATGGGGGAAAAGGTGAGAAGGGGCAAGATGGAGGAAAGAAGAAGCCCAGCACGTTGGAGTTTTCTGACTATAATATTTTCTCATCTGTAGCAGGAGGTACCAAGATGGTGCCTACTGAGAGGACCTCGGCAACTTCCTTCGTGGGTGAGATCTGGAAAGGTTAGGAGTTCTGTTGAAAAGGTAAAGCAGGACATACAAGCCCTCCCACCCCACCCTCAGAAAGCCTCCAGCCAGCTGGAATGGCATCCAAGACAGCAGGTGGCAAAAAGCTGATGAGAAGCTGCTGACATTGCTGATCCTCTAGGCTGGGGCCGTGACATAGAGGGGAGACAAGCTTCGTGTGGGAGCTTTGGGGAATGAGATAGGTGCCCGGATGTGGAGTCCTGCCCGGTATTCTTCCTGCTTTAGGCCAGCGTGATCCAGAAAAGGCCAGGCACTGGTGGGAGCCGGGCTGTGGCCGGGAGGGCACGAAGGGCACATGAGCAAGGGCTGGCTGTTCTGGGAGGTGCAAAGTAGGGGTCAGTGCCCTTCCAGAAGATAGCTCGCCATCTAGATGTGATTGGATCCAGTTGTCTCTGCCCTGACCTTTCTTTGAAGTGAGGAGAAAGGCTGGTGATCACCAAAGCTCTCCTGCTTGTTTTCGGGTTTTGTTTTTTTGTTTGTTTGTTTAGAGGTTTTCTTGTTTTGTTTTTTGGTACTAAGGATTGAAATCAGGGGCACTTTAATACTGAGCTGCATCCCTAGCCCTTTATATTTATTTATCATTTTTGTTTGTTTGTTTGTGGTGCTGGGGATTGAACCTGGGGCCTTGTGCACACTGAGTTACATCCTCAGCCCTCTTTTTATTTTTATTTTGAGACAGAGTCTCACCAAGTTGCTAAGATTGGCCTTGAACTTGTGATCCTCCTACTTCAGCCCTCCAAGTAGATGGGATTTAAGGCATGCACCACCATGCCTTCCTACCTGCTTCTGTGTGATATGTTTGATATTGGGTTGTTTAATTAGAAACCAACTAAATGTCAAACATATTCTTATAGCAGCAGGCAATTCAGCATCACTCACACTTCTATCTCGACCTCTAGGGCTCTGGGACTCCTCTGTCTTTTTTACTGAGCCTCTTCTCTCCAGGACTACCCCCCTCCCCAAAGAGCAGTAGATGCAACCCAGGTGGATTTCAATCTTAACCTGAAGGACTGGTGTGGGAGTGGAAGAGAGCTGGAATTGGGAATCAAATCTCTCTATATATCTTGCCCCCCTTTCACTAGTAGGGATCATCTTTCTTTTTTGTCCTTGTATTTTTCTTCTTTTGCCCCCTCCCCGCCATCCTCTGCTTCCTCTCCCTGGGACTCTGGTTCCCTAATTCTTTTCCCTGGCTCCTCTCCACAGTAGGGGTCTTTGGTTTCTCTGCTTTCCTTCAGGTCAGCTGATGGTCTAGCTGCTGGTCTACCAGTAGTAGTCTACTACTACTATTCTGTGCCTGGAAGCTTTCATGAGTGAACTCCAGCTCTGCCCTGCCCGCTGTCCAGATTGGTGTTTCAGTTCCCACATGGCTGAGGTTTAGCATTAATACTAACTATCTTTGACATTATGACTAATTCAAGCCATTTATTTTTCCCTGAGAGCTCTGGTCACCTTGAACAGTGCCCACCTCTCCTCTGGCATATTCTTGGGTGTATGATGCCAGTATATGGGGATCAATTGCCACCTGCCAATAACAAGGCTCCAAATGGAAAATGAACATGACTTGGAAACCCACCAGGGGGTTGGTAATGATTATAAAGGTGTGGTAGGCAATGGGTTGGGTGTTGAAGAGAGAACGTGAAGAGCAAAGAGCAGCAGAGACCCTGGTATGTATGGATGCAAAAGTTAAGATCACTTGGGGGTGGGGGCTGGGGTTATGGCTCAGTGGTAAAGCGCTCGTCTAGCACGTGCGAGGCGCTGGCTTCGATCCTCAGCACCACATAAAAATAAATAAATAAATGTACAACTGCAACTAAAAAAAAGGTTACTTCTTCGGAAAAAACAGATGCATTATCTTGTCTGGATTACTCTGACCCTCCCTATTTCTCTCTCCACCTCACTCGAAGCTCTGGGGTGGCCTTCCAGATCTCAATCCTACCCTCTTACTCTATTCCTATGCCTCTAAGGGAGAGGAATGATGTCTCCTGCCAATTAGAGACTCCCAAAATAGCACAGCAATTTGATCTGGAGATCTGGGGGAATTGTCAAGGATCATGAGTGACCTCCCCTCTTCACTGTTGTCCAAGTTCCCTGAATACCAGGAATCAAAAGATGAAACTCAACCAGTAGAGTTGGATCTGCATCCAACAGAGTCTAGGGGAGAGCATGGAGGGAACTGAAGGGTAACTAGGCCCCTCAGGATGAATACTGCCATTCTAGAATTGCCAAAGTGTTCTTCTCTATGTTCTCCCCTCCCCTGCCCTGCACTTTTAAATCACCCAGAAAGAGTGGAGAGTTTCAGGGTCAGGGAGAGCCTTTCCCCTCCCCCACTTTCCATTGTCTAAAATCAGCCTCAGCTGTTCCCCCTTGCTTTTTTTTTTGGTGGTTGTTGGTGGTGGTGATGTCAGTCCATCAAAGTGTCTCACCCTGTGTTCCCCCGGGGGGAATACTGATGGGGGGTGGAGGGAGTTGGAAAGACCATATTGGGAATAAGAGGTGGAGCCCTAAGCAGAGATAAAGGCTCAAGTCTGGGGACCCCTCGTTGCTCAGACAGCATCTCCTCCTTTCTTGTCCTAGTCTCTAGTTCTCCATTGTTCACAGGTAATCCCACCAACAGCCCCTGCTCATGATGGAGGCCATCAAGAAAAAAATGCAGATGCTGAAGTTGGACAAGGAGAATGCTCTGGACCGGGCAGAGCAGGCTGAAGCGGAGCAGAAGCAGGCCGAGGAAAGGAGTAAGCAGGTAAGCGCGGCACCTGGCCATCTCACCTGCTGGGGAACCGGAGGGGGACAGGGAAGGGGGTTCATGGGAAAGGCAGTGGCCACTGGTGCCAGCTCCTTCTTTGGCGGGAGGGACTCCCCAGCCTCAATGGACAGTAGAGGACCTCTAGGGTCCTCGAATGCCTGTGTAACTGTGGCAAAGTCAGTGGCCTCTTTGGTGCCACAGTGTGACTGCTGGATTAGTGGACCACATTTTGGAAGAACCTCTGACTTCTAGAGGAAAAGGTAAGAGTTTAACATGAACCACCTCTTTTCTCTTAAATAGTGTCACAGGTATCTTTCCACGCTCTTGGATATTTACCATCTAAGGGTCTTGGATGAAAACCCAGGACGGTTTGTTGATCTTAGGATCAGAGACTTTAGGGTCCCAGAGCAAGCCACAACATTACTCCTGGAGCAGTGGGATGAAAGTGGTTGGAGAGAAAATGTGTCTGTCTCTGGGGAGGGTAACATGGAGGCTGGACTCAGAGTCTATCAGAGTCCGAGTCTGCATGATCATGCATGATCCAGATCTCAATCCTACCCTCTTTGTGTGTGACTCTCTGGACTCCTGTAGCTGGAGGATGAATTAGCAGCTATGCAGAAGAAGCTGAAAGGGACAGAGGATGAGCTGGACAAGTATTCTGAAGCCTTAAAGGATGCCCAGGAGAAGCTGGAGCTAGCAGAGAAGAAGGCAGCTGATGTGAGTATGAGAGAGATGGAGGATGTGTTTCATCTACACACAGACATCTTCATATTAATATATTCCAACACACTCTGATGTATACATACTTGTGGGCTCATGGAACATAGACATATATACCATACACATTTTAATCACATGCTAGTATATCCTCATAATGGCATATATTTTCTTTCTCAAAGACATGTTGGGGTTGGGGATGTAGCTCAGTGGTAGAGTACTTGCCCAGCACATATGAGAAAATGGGTTGAAAGAAAAAGAAAGAAAGGCCCAGTGCAGTGGTGCATGCCTGCAATCCCAGCAACTTGGGAAGCTAAAGCAAGAGGATTGCAAGTTCAAGACCAGTCTGGGCAACTTACCAAGACCCTGTCTTGCAATAAAATATAAAAAGTGTTGAGGATGTGGCTCAGTGGTTAAATACCCTGGGTTCAATCCCCTGTACAAGAAAAGAAAGAGAGAGAAAGAGAGAGAGAGAGAGAGAGAGAGAGAGAGAGAGAGAGAGAGAGAGAGAAGAGAGGAGAGAGGAGAGAGGAGACAGACATTCATGTAGATGTCTCATTTTTATTTTACCTATCCCCAGCTGGGGAATTTAATTATCTTTTCCAGGACCTGGACAAAGGGATTGGACTCCCAGTCCAGACTGCTATCATGTATCCTACCTCCTACCCCATGCCACATTCTTAGCTTTTGTGTACAAGGCTAGGCATGTAGATGTGTGTATTAATAGAGAAACTCTCATATCTCAACTGCCCAACAAAGCCGGCTTGGATTTCACAATGGGAAATGGAGGTCACATTGACCCTGGCCCTATATGGGTCTATTCATCTTGGCCAATGTGGACACCTGCCTTTATGCGTCAGATACCATAGGAAGTACTGCTCATAGGGCAACTCAGAGGTCCCTAGAGTGGACTTTAATAGAAACTAAGGAATCTTACGAGGTAAAGTTATCACCACCAGACCTTACTCTATGTTCTTGAGTAAATTATTGTTTCTGTAGGGCTGATTGTTCACATTTGAAAAGGAAGTAAATTACCTTTTTTTTAACCACTTCCTATTATCCTGTAACCACCTATTTTCTTTCATTTTCAATTTTGAAGTTTGCTGCAAAGATAATAGACCAGATAGGAAATTTTTTTGGAAGAAAAATACCATAGAAATACTTTTTTGGGGTACTGGGGATTGAACCCAAAACCTTCCACTGGGCTATAAACCCAGCCCACAGGAATTGTCTCCCTACCACCTGTAGTACTGGGGATTGAACCTAGTGGTACAGGGGCACTCTACTACTGAGCTACATTCCCAGCCCTTTTATTTATTTTGATCTCATTAAATCGCTATACCTGGCCTCAGTCTCTGAAGTTGCTGGGATTATAGGTGTGCCACCATGCCCAGCTCTTTGCAAAAGAGAATTCTCTCTTCTTGGAAAACTGCAAACAAACAAGCAAACAAACAAAACCCCACAGGTTACCCCCAGGGTGAGTGATAGACAGCTTGTTGGAGTTGCCAAGCCTAGGTCCCAGGTATGGATGGATGCATCTCTCTGGTTCCAGTATATGGACAGGAGGATAGACGTTTTCACAAACTAGCACAATGTCAGGTTAGCATAGTTTTGTGAGATGCTAGAAAACAACGCCCCAGGGAGGTCCTTAAGCTAAAACATTTGCAGGCTCAAGGAGGTGTGTTCCAGAAGCAAGAAAAAGAAGTCTAATATCAGATCTTGGAAGAGGGAAAGTGACAGAGGCTATAGATAATAAATCAATATTACCGGGAAGATAAAGGAATTTCTTGGGGCTGAATTCTGTCTGTTGAATTGTTTATTTATTTTATTTATTTATTTTGATACTTGCGATTGAACACAGGGGTGATTTACCACTGAGCTACATCCCCAATCCTTTAACTTTTTTTTTTCTTTTTGAGATAGTGTCTTGCTAAGTGGCCAAGGCTGGCCTCAAACTTGAGATCCTCTTGCCTCAGTCTCCAGAGTAGCTGGGATTACAGGTGTGCATTGGCACACCCAGTTTGTCTTAAAATGTTTTATACAACCAGGCATGGTGGTGTACACCTGTAAACCCAGCAACTCAGAAGGCTGAGGCAGGAGAATCACAAGTTCAAAACTAGTCTCAGCAACTTAGGGAAGCTCTAAGCAACTTAGTGTCTCAAAATAAAAAATAAAAACAGCTAGGGATGTGGCTCAGTGGTTGAGCACCCCGGGTTCAATCCCTGATACCCCCCCCCCAAAAAAAAGGAAAGCAAGTTATTGTTTATAGGAATTGGAAAAGTACCAAATAAGGAAGAGTAGCAAGGTTTAAAAAGAGAGCAAGAGCCAGGCATGGTGGCACATGCCTGTAATCTCAGCAGCTCAGGAGGCTGAGACAGGAGGAACGCAAGTTCAAAGCCAGCCTCAGCAACTTTGAGGCGCTACACAACTCAGTGAGACCCTATCTCTAAAAAAAATCAAAAGAAAAAAAAATTAGGACTGGGGATGTGACTCAGTGGTTGAGTGCCCCTGAGTTCAATCCCTGGTACCAAAAAAAAAAAAAAAAAAAGAGAGAGAGATAGAGAGAGAGAGAGAGAGAGAGAGAGAGAGAGAGAGAGCGCGCGCGCAAGGGTCAGCATCATCTGCAGCATAATATATATATATATATATATATATATATATATATATATATATATATATATATATATATATATATATATACATCTTTGTGGGAAGGGTGCTTTGTCCAATACAAAGGAAGCTCTGTTCTTCTGATTAATAAATAAGTAAACAGAACATATTACCTTGTTGTAGGTGGACAGGGAGGAGAGGGATGAGGAAGTGAATAGCTGCATGTTTATACAGACAGAACTGGTTATCTGAGAAGCCTTTGTGAAAGTCTAGGATTTGCTAGGACTGCTTGAACAAAGAAAGGCAAGGATGTGGCAAAGGTCAATCCAAACTTTATTTTTTGTACTTCTCCAAGATTGTCTAATATTGTTTTAAAAATTGTGCCAAAATATAAATACATAAAATTTGCCACTTTAACCATCTTTTAAGTACACAGCGACACTACATATACATTTACACTGTTGTGCAACCATGCCTAAGGCCCTCTTAATCTGAGATGAAATCAGAAGCTGTTTAGGGAGAAACAGGTAAGAGGAGTACAATGGTTAGGACACAAGAGTCATAACACCCTTTTTTAGGAATAGGCATTGGGAGAGATGGGGGGAGAAGGAACAGACCTGGACATATAAACTTGTTGATATATTATATTGTTTGTCACCAGGAAAACAATAGCACTGGGCCCCTTGCTGCCTATCCATCATGTTCTTAAAGGCTATCAGGAGTCAGCCCATCTGTTTCCCTGGATCAAGAGGAGATTATCTGTTCAAGTCCACCAGCCTCAGGAACGCAGTGGTGCTCTCAACACCCCTTTGGGTTGTCTAGGACAAGGGCTTCAGCTTCTTCACTGGGGCCCAGAGAGGTGCAATAGTGCCCCCTGCTGATCAGTGTCCAGATAAGGAAATCTCACTTCCACCTTGGGATGAGATTTCTTTAAAGCCAGCTGGAAAAATTAGGCCATCAAGTGTAGAGTCAGAACCCTGCTCTTCCTTTGCAGTTACTGTGGGAGAAATCAAAGTACCCTACCAAGAAAATTTATTGTTGGTCCAAGTTTTTTTCTTCTGAATAAGGTCATTATTTAGTATTTCAAAAAGAGAGAGGAAGGCAGATTCTCTGGAGGGGGCATCCTTAGAATCAGACCCAGATATTACACTACAATTGTCTTTCCAACACTTTTAAGGGTTAGGATTCTTGATTCTAAGTCCTATTCTATATGCTAATTCTGTAGGGGAAAAGAGCTGCACCAGAGGAGAAATTTATCATTATTACTTACTGAGAAGGATGAAGGAATACAAAGAAATAGAGGGGAAAATAAAATTTTCAAGTCTGGCTGGGCTGGGGATGTAACTCAGTGATAAAGCGTTTGTCTAGTGTGTGAAGACTCTGGTTTTGATTCCCAGTACCAGCAAGGGAAGAAAAATATACCTCAAGTCTTTCTCTTTTTTTCTACCTTTTTTCTTTTGGTATTGGAGGTTAAACCCAGGGGCACTTACCACTGAGCCACATCCCCAGCCCTGTTTTGTATTTTATTTACAGGCAGGGTCTCACTGGGTTGCTTAGTTCCCTCCAAGTTGCTGAGGCTGGCTGTGAACTCTAAATCCTCCCGTCTTAGTCTCCCAAGCTGCTGGGATTTCAGGCATGTGCCACCAATCCTGGTTTCCCCATCCCTTTTTAGCTTCTTTGAGACTGGTTTCTCTAAGTTGCCCAGGCTGCCCTCAAACTTGTGATCCTCCTGCCTCAACCTCCCCAGTTGCTGGGTTTACAATGGTTTGCCATAGAGCCTGGCTCAAGCTTATTATTGTATTTCCAGAAATCCTGCATAGCAGTGCCTGTAGGAGCAGGATCTAGTTCCTTGGGATACCTCATGCAGTAGAGGCAGTGAAATTGGTGAAAGTCATTATAGAATGGAGGTTCAATACCACAGTAGTTTTCCAGGCACCTCTATCTTGCTGTTGCACAAAGGATCTAGTGACAGGAATCTGCAATAAGAATTCCTTCCTGATAGAATGGGGGCATATCTGCAGAAAGGACTGTAAGTGATCATTAAATTACCAAGTCCTGAGTCATTCCAAAACTTGAAGGGGCTGGTAAGTCAATTAATGGTATATATATATATATTTTGCAAGGTGGGGGTAAAGGGGGATATTGGGGATTGAACCCAGGGGTGCTTTACAATTGTTATTTTTTAAATTTTAATACAGGATCTCTTTAGGTTGCCCAGGCAGGCCTCAAACTTGGGATCCTCCTGCCTCGTTGCTGGGATTTTACAGGTCTGGGCCATCACGCCCAGGTTAATGGTGCATGCTGACTCTCAAATAGGGGAAACATTGGTATTGTAAATAGAATATTTAAGTTAACAATTGATGCTAAATAGAATGAGGACTTGATCAACT